AGTAAATAAACTTATAAACTTCCCAATATTTATTAGTTATCTTGAGTGAATTTATTTTGAAATTGTAAATTATACTATAAACGTAAAATTGTAACTTCACTATGCTAATCATTGTTGCCTTAATCCGTGTGTCATTTGTAAAGTGGACAACTAAATAGGGACGGAGGGAGTATTTTAGTAGACCTTCTGCTAATTGAGTTTGAAAAATCAAAATGACTAATCACATACTCTTGTTGTTCATTTTTATTTGTGATCGTGTGTTTTTAAAAGTTAATTTGATTAATTTTTAAAGTTAAATTATATTATATTAAATTAATATTTTAAATAAAAAATTTAGATATTCAAAAATTATATAAAAAGTACTAAAAAATACATTTTTTTGTAAATCAATATGATGAAAAAATATCATAAAATATTAATCAAAATTTTTATAATTTGATTCTGAAAAAGGAAATCATAACAATTAAAAGTTGACGGAAGAAGTATAAAACTCTCACGGTCTCAATTTTGTGACCTTTTTTTGAGTGATTTGGTGCACTTAGATCAATACTTCAAAATATATTTTCATTATATTCTGATGGAAATAATTATAACTTATAGTTTTTTATTATAAATTTTGAATATAAAAAATTTATTTTAAAAAATATTAAAGTGATCTAATTTAATTTATCATAAAATTAGTTAAATTGACTTTCCATACGAAAATATCATATAATTTTAGACGTTGATTGTATAAGGTTTTTATGAAATAGTAGCTACAAATGAAGATCAAAGATCTTTGAGCGACTCCAACATAACAAATTCAAAAGATAATTTAAAAAAAAAATTTCTCGATGCCTATTCTAAGCTCGAATTTACTTTGTTCTGCTATGATAGTCTAGAAGCATACCAAGTACCAATTATGGAATAACAATGAGATATTTTCTTAATTTAATTTCTATTATATAGTCCAGAAGCAAATTTGAAATATTTTCCTAAAATTATACACAAGCTAAAAGTTGCACCATAAAAATATCTTTCAAATACATAAGTAAATTAAAAAATAAATATAATACAACAATATATATTTTAAAATTTGACCTCAATTGATAATAAATATTTCAATTCAAAAAATACACATCTGATATTCTTAATAAAATTTAAATTGGCCCCATAAAAGCAAATTTGAAAGTCTCCATTAAGAATGTATATCTTGTTAGAAGTGTCTAGATACATTTTTAAAGTTCAAATATAAACGAGACACATTTATGTCAAGTTAAAATATTAACGAGATACATTTATATGAAGTTAAAATATCTAAATGATCACGATTTAAAAAATTATTGTATCAAAGTTAAAATACTTATAGATGTATCTGAAAAAATGAGATAATGACATTTCCCGTTTCGAATAAAAACTTGCTGCGTCTTATCGCCACGTAATGGCCACAGCTGCTTAAACATCCACCGTTGGATAAATTATGAGTTATTCTGAGCCGTTGGATAGTATGTAATATGGGACCCATGGATTGATAAATCTCTATGAATCTTAAAAAGATTATATCAGTGACGTTTTTCAACATACGCAACGTAGAAGTCGGTGACCTTGTTTCACAAATGGATCAAAACGGCGTCGTTAGCTTCCGCCACCGTCAATCTCCATCATCCGATCGGTTTCTCGGCGTCTTCTCTCCGCCGCTGAGTGATGCTGCTCTCGTCGGCGGTACAGATGAACCAGTGGCCGATGATGATGAGCTTAACGAAGATGACGTGTTCTGGACTGGAAGAGTTTTGACTGAATCTCAACTCCGCTCTACTTCTCCTTCACGGAATAGTTTCCGTCAGCCTGAGAAGTTTGGTATTCTCGCGGCATTAGTGGAGGATCAGCAGAAAACTAATCTGCCTGTTGTCCGTCGGAAGCCTTCAATCGCTTCTTCGCCATCTAGTACGGATTCGATCTCGCAATCGCCGATTTCATCTTCGCCTTCTACTGTGATACCGTTTTCACGTGCTTTTCCTTCGATTCATAAGCCGCCATCGGGTAACAATAATTTTAGTCACTCAAAATCCATGCCGGCGAGGAACTTCCAGCACTCAGCTCCGGTCAATGTTCCAATGATGGCGAAGAAGGCACCAAAGCATGGAGACCTTGCTGAAGTTGAAATTGACGACGATGATGCTGATGATGAGATGTTACCGCCGCATGAGATGGTGGCCCGAGGATCAATGAGGTCTCCTAGAACCACTTTCTCGGTGCTGGAAGGCGTCGGAAGAACTCTCAAGGGGAGGGATCTTCGTCAGGTTCGCAATGCTGTGTGGCGCCAAACAGGTTTTCAGGATTGAAGTATGCTCATGTTGATATAACTATAGATCTTGTTTTAGATATCTGAAGTTTAAAACTGACCTTATGTTTTTGTTATATTCTGTATATAGGCAATGAAGAAATAGTTTTACAAATTTCTTCAGTTTTTATATGGCCTAAGTGTATTGAAAGAAGATGAAGTTATTATCTAGAAAAAAATTGCTGATATGTTATATCAACATGTACATTTTGGGCAATGATCTCTTTGAATATTAATGCGAAAGAGTTTTGTTGAATTCTATATGATTCTGTTGCTCGAACTTCATTATTTGTAAGTTAAAAAGTTTCCAGCTTTTAGCCATTGATCTTTGTTATCTTTGCTGTGTGTATAGTGGAAGGTCATAGATCATTGCCTGTCCTGATGGTTCCTCTGTCGAATTCCCATAGCTGATTACGTTTGATCATACACATTATCTAGTAGCTTGGGTGACTTCTTTTGCACTTTCTGTGCAGTTTGTGAACTGAATTAGTGGACTGGTCCCTCGGAATCAAGTTTTTGTAGTTCCTCCTATAAGTCCTCTGTTTTTACCATGATTTGTAGTGTCCTTTATCTAGCAGTTTGTCATCTAGTTCTATGTTGTATATAGGCAATGGAGAAATGTTTTTACAAGTTTCTTCAGTTTTTAATGTGGCTTAAGTGTACTGAAAGAAGATGAAATTATTATCTGAAAAAAAAGGGTGATATGTTGCATCAACAAGTATGTTTTGGGCAATGATCTCTTTGAACATTAGTGCAAAGATGGTTCTTTAGATCTTATATGATCCTGTTGGACGCGCTTCATTATCTGTGAGTTGAAAAGTCTCCAGCTTTTAGCTATTTAGTTCTGTTGTATTTGATATGTCTATAGACTATAGTGGAAGTTCATAGTTTGTTTCCGTGTTCATGTTTAAATGCTACCACGTTTTGATAGTTCCTTTGTCAATTCCCCATAGCTGATCACATTTAATCTCACACATTATTTAGCAGTCCAGATGACTTCTGTTGCTCCTTCTGTACAATGTGTGAACTGAATTAGTGGACTGGTCCCCCAGAATCAAGTTTCAGTAGTTCCTCTGCTTTTACCATGATTTATAGTTTCCTTTAACTTGCAGTTCCTCATCTAATTGAAACAGCTGAAAATATCACCCGTCTTTCTTTTTTGTGGTGATGGTGGTGTTCACACCAACTTGAACACACCTTCACTATTTCGCTGAGAATCTTCATCATCTCATTGTCTCACCAGTATCACTAGTATAAATTTCGGGCAACTCTGTCCACCTAGTTGTTTGTTTCTTCTCTTGGATCTCTTGGAGTGGAATCTTGGGTTCTCATTATTTCTGTTCCAACTCCATTAGGCATTATCTTTGAATGCATCATGTATCTTGACTGTGACACTTCACACTAGCCTTGTCATTGGATGCTCTTGCTATTGAAGCTGTAGAAGAACATCAATCTTTGACTGTTATCGTTGATATATTCAAATCATGGTTTGGTCTGCATTGATTTCAAGTTACAGAGCCCTGAGGAAGGTAAAAGAAATTTCCGGGAATCAGATTTCGATGATCTAAGTTTGATCCAAATGCATGAGCATTGGCACTCATGAGCTTCAGTTATTGCATTATTTGGTGATTATTATTGCTCCTTGTTTTTAGATTGCGATGTTATGTTTTTCCTATTATTTGCTATGTCACTTTTGTATCATTCTTTTGAACTGTTTTGATGTGTGATACTCAAGTCGAGAATCGTTAAGCTCTCTACTAGGTAGGGGTAGGTCTACATGCACTTTATCCTTCCTAGCATAATCTACTTCTTGAAGAACTGCAAAAGACAATATATGTAAGTAATATTCATGAATTTCAGTACAAAAATAGAAAAAATTATCCTCTATAAAAGAAAAAAGAAAGAACCTTAATCACTAATTCCATCACTCTCTCTGTGTCTTTTATTATACACTTGTTATAGAATTTGATGGACAATAATGTCAAATTTGGAAATTTGACATAGGATTTTGGTTGAAAATATCGAGCTAGGCAGAGTGTTGTGAGCGTTAGACATGCTTAGAACGCACAATCGAATCTCTTTAAGGCATAAAGCCTCACAAAATTGAACGCAAAAAAGACTTTTAAAACAAAGGTTCAATTAAACTTTCTAAAGTTGGGGTAGGTGTTAAGGGAGAGTGGGAGAAAATAAAATTAGTCCCACCTTAATGGATTAGAGTACAAGTTCGTTGTTTAGTTGACAACTCACAACAATTTCAAAAGAATATTTTCTAATCTTTTTGAAACTACTCCATCATCTCCATCTTTTTGCTTTCTAATTCAAAAGTTGACATCATTAATACTTTCTTGTGTTCAAATTTATATAATACAAATCAAATTTCGAGAGTCAAACAGTTTAATTTTGACGAAATGAAATCTTCAAATTCTTTGAAATAAAATGTATATGACAAAATTACAGCAGAAGACAGGCTCATTTGAATCTCGAAATTCAAAAGTATCACATAAATTGGGATAATCACATTTTCATTTACTACCTAGTAGCTACTAGTACTATTTAATTAAATAACCACTCTTCTTGCTCCATTACCAAAATAATAAAAAGTCATTATTATAATAAGTCCATCTTACAAATCCACCCTATATAAGTTCTACCCCCTATTGCTCTTCTCATCACAATCAAGTAAATAGCCACTCAATCCTTCATTTAAATTCTAGCCACTTTTTATTCTTTCAATTACAAATGGAGAAAAGTGAATCAACCAAAATTGATGTTGTGGAAACCAACAGAGAAAAGAAAGGAAAAGCCCCACTTTTGGGAACAGCAGCTCCTGCTATTGTTGCTGCTGTTGGTCATGATGGACATGCAAAAGGAGGTGGTGCTAAAAGAGGAATTGCAATTTTTGACCTTATTTTAAGAATAGCTGCTTTTGCTTCTGCATTAGGTGCTACTGTGGCTATGGCTACTACTGAAGAAACTCTGCCCTTTTTCACTCAGTTCTTTCAGTTCGAAGCTAGCTATGACGATCTTCCAGCTTTTACGTAAGCAAATCAATAGACTGTTTGATTAAACTTTCAAAATCTGCTTATTTTAAAAGTTCTCTTAAAAAAAGAACATTTGGTTGATAACATTTGCCAAGAACTCAAAAAGCACTTGTTTTTTTTCATACTAACTTGACTAAACACGTCGAATATCTGAAATAAACACTTTTGACTTTTCGTCTAATATTACCTAGTTTTTAAAATTTATTTATCTGCATGATATGTAAATAATTTTACTACATTATATATATGGGAATTAATTAATTAATTTTGCTATATTTTACAGGTTTTTTGTGGTAGGTATGGGAATAGTTGTTGCATACCTTGTCCTCTCTGTACCTTTTTCTATAGTGTGCATTGTACGACCCCATGCAGTTGTACCAAGGCTCCTCCTCATTATATTTGATACGGTACGTAGAATTTTGTGTAAGCAGTATCGATATACAATCTGAGGTTAAATATATTCTGTCGTTACAAAGTTAATCCAAATATGCTCTTCTTCATTAACTACATAAGCTTTCCAACTCATGTACCTTTTTTTTACAAGGTAAGATCGTCGAATTTGCACATAGATTATGTAAAATAGGCTAACTTATGTAGCGAATGACACATAACGATACATTTTTTTAAAAGGGTGTCTCCGCCACTGATTGAAAGTTCTATTGAACATATTTAAATTTATACAAAAGTGGTTAATTTTTTTTTTGAAGTGTTATGTTTTTTTGATAATTTTGAAGGTGATTATTGCATTGGCAACGGGTGCAGCAGGGTCATCAACAGCCATAGTGTATTTGGCTCACAATGGAAACCAAGATGCAAATTGGTTAGCAATTTGCCAACAATTTGGTGATTTCTGCCAAAGGGCCAGTGGAGCCGTGGTGGCCTCCTTTGTCACGGTGGTGCTCTTGATCCTCATGGTGGTTCTCTCTGCTTTCGCTCTTCGAAGACACTAAGGTCGAGTTCGTTTTTATGGAAAAAGAAAAAAAGTATTCGCTACTACTTACAACACCTTCATTCACTCGTTTCATTGTATATTGGAAAAATAATTAGTGTTATATTGGATTTGAAATGTTATGTGTTTCTTTTGTTTTGTTAAGGTGTGGATGTTGTGTTTCTGTCTTTATTAAAAAGGGGGAATTTGGGAAGTCTTGTAAATCATAATTGGTAAATTCAGGGAATCTATATTGCAAATTATGCTGTAATTTTCATAGTGAACTTTATATGTTGTACTTTTCAATTTTCATCCATGTATTATGACTATATATATTTCAATATTCATCTATGTATTCTCCGTATTTTAACTTTCATTAAGAGTAAAATATATATTTTAAGTATTTCGATTTTTGAGTTTATTATTTGAATTATTAGATGTATGAGTTTTTTATCTGAATTATCACCAAATATTTGTAGAAACACACCAAACAATGGTGATGTTTCACGTAGATAAAGTGAACAACTAATAGTTGAAGCGTATTTTGATAAATTTGGTGATAGATGATTAAAAATAGCAAGTAAATATATAGTATATGTGTATAATCATGTATAAGTAATATATAATTTATGTATATCTATCTATTTGAAAAAAGTAAATAGTAAGTTCGACCGGCTATTTATGTAAAGAGGCCGTAAGTCCAAATTCTCAAATAGAAAATTCAAGCCCAAAATTTAATTACTTCAAAGTCCATCTCATTCTTCACTTTGACATTCAGCTTTCACTCTCTCTCTCTACGCAGCACAACAATGGCTGCCTTGAGAAAATTATTATTACCTAAAAATACAAGTGTTGTAATATCAAACTCAGCAATTTTCCTTTCTCGAAGAGGCATAGCTTCTAAGCTATTTGTTGGAGGTATTTTTCCTTTTTTTTTTTTTTTTTAAAATACATGTATAGACGATTGTTTTTTAGAAATTCATATGAAAGAGTTCATTCTTGTAATGAATTTGTAATTATTTGATTAAAAAATGATATTTTTTTTGGGTTTACTTTGCCTCTATAGTGCTGTTGACTAGGTATTTATGCTTTGCAATTGGGTTTATGAAGGGTTTATGGGTCTGTTATTGAATAACGTAGTAATAAAGAAGGGTTGTATGCAGATGAATTGAATTATTTGTGTACTTTGATTATCATATTGTTTTGTTGCCATGTTACTCTTTTCTGACCTGCTTTGAAATGTTTTGCCTTGAGCAAAAGGTCTATCGGAAATAGCTAAGGATAAGGTCTGCGTATACTTTACCATGGACCCCACTTGTGGAATTAGGCGGGGTTTCTTGTAGTAGTTGTGAAAACTCTTGCAAAGAGGTATGTTGGATCCTCTTGGAGTATTTATTTAGATGGAGAATGATTCTCCTCTGGCAATCAAAAGAGGAGAAAAGAACCGAAACATAGGAGCTAATCTTAAATCACCTACTCGATTGACAAGCAGAAATTTTCTTCCTAGTGTATTTGCGTCGAGTGTAACTGCGTAAGCGAGAAGTGAAATAACAAGTATGAAGCAAGAGTTACTTCCGTCATTAGTTATAAAATATGTTGGTTAGTTGGAAGGACAATCGTTTAATTTTTGCATCCAAGGTATGGCCTAGTAGTGAGTAAAGTGGGTTGAGAACCACGAGGTCTCCGGTTTCAATTCCTCGGAGGCTAAAACACTAGGTTATTTCTTTCCACCAAGCTTTCATAGACAGAGTTACCCGATACCTTTGTTGGTGGGAGGTAGCAAGTATTCCATGAAGTTAGTCAAGGACCCAAGGTGCCCATAAGCTAGTCTAAAATCCCATAGTTCAAAACAAAAATAGGATGGATAGTCAGAGTACGCTGTGGAAAGGGGACTTGAAGGAAGATTAGGACAAGATCACACTGCTTTGGGTTTAAAACAATCAGTCTTTTTCTCATTTTAGGTCTAAAGGCAACCTTGAAAAACCTTTCTGATATTGCCTAATTACAATACAAAATATATTCGAGAAGCTATACAGTGAAATTCAATTTCATTTTTTTAAAACATATTCTCTACTCTTTTGAGTAGAAATGTAAACAAGCATGATCAATATCCTAATTAGCATAAGTATCTGGAAAAGGATGGACGAAAAGCATTTGCAATAGCTGAAACGAAGATTCAGGGGTCCTTCTGTAAAAAATATCATGGAACTTACTCCGCATATGATTAGGACATAGGTAATAGATATTAGATACTATAGGCAGGCGTTTGGTTGCAAGAAAAGAGTCTAACCTCGTTAACTTCAATTTAAATGGCCATTTATCTTTCCATTTAGAACTCTAGTTCTTTCATCTGGTTGGTTTTTACCTGAAATGGGGAACAACATGGGGGATATATGATAGCTTCGGTTAGCAGTGCACTGTTTTCTGTATTAGCTCTCACCTTTCAAAATTCCTACTACTACAATTTCCTCCGTTACGATCTGACTTATTATAGTCCTGTTTTAGTCGATCTATTTAGTGGTTGGCACTTGGCTAACTGAGTTTTTACAATGCATCTATATCGCAGCCCCCAAAGAACCTCTAACGTAGCTTCTACAGATATTATGACATGACAAATAAAGAGCAATATCAATAAATCTTCAAAAACTTTCTATATGTCTAGAGCAGCTTACTCAATTTAGCACAACATAGATAAATCATCTTTAATTATCTTGATATCACAAAGAAGCTTTTTCCAATTTGTTCCGTCGCAATTTATGTGACAATCTTTCCTTTTTAGTCAGTCCCATAAAAATGACATCTTTCTATATTTGGTCCAACAAATTAACTTTTAACTTTCTTTTCACTTTATCCTTAATGAGATGATTCATAGCCACACAAATATTTACGACTTATTTTTAGACCATAAGTTTCAAAGTCTTCCTTTCATTCTTAAAACAACAATGATTTGTCTAGCTATGATTGTGTGGCCTTAAACAACTATTACAGAGTTGATCTTGATTAGTTCCTCCACATAGTCAAATGGCTTATTTAGAAAATTATCTAAGTTGTCAAGATCTTAACTTTAACTGCAGACAAACACCTTACCAGTTGAAGAACTCCGCTACACTTGCCATTTATCAGTATTTGAGGATAGCATGTACTTTCCATGTGTTCAAGATTTTATACTTTAATTACTTTCAGGAAACACAGGAAGAATCACTGGTTTGCACTTTACAGTGTGGTTTCCCTAATTGTGTTGGAACGATGTTGTGAACAGCTTATATTCTTGTACTGCGAAACTGGAGATATATGTTTCATTCCTTTCAGAAATAACCAATCAACAGAAACAAGTTGTTGCCAAAAGGCTGACCATCTCATCCTATTTAGAAGTCTAAAGGAGTACTCGTTACCCACTGCTCTGCCATCGGAAAGAGAAATGAACAATATAAAGATCATTGTCCACTTTAACCCAAAAAAAAGAAGAAGATCATAATCGAAAGAAACAAACTTATGAGATATTGTTATTTCAGGCCTCTCATTTTACACCACAGAGAAGGCACTGTCAGAGGCATTTTCTCAACATGGTCAAGTTATTGAAGGTGAACAAATAAACATATGTTGAGTTCTCTTTTAGATATAGTAGGACTTCACGTCTTTAGTTTAACCTTGTTTTATTTACCAGCTAAAATTGTGACGGATAGAGTCTCAGACAGATCCAAGGGTTTTGGATTTGTCACCTATGCATCTGAAGATGAAGCGGAGAAAGCCTTGCAAGAAATGAACGGCAAGGTACGTCCATATTATCGCTGTATCTGTTTTTGATGTGTACTATTATGTTCATTATTGTTCAATTATGCATGTCGAATGATGCAGCCTCTTAATGGACGAGTTGTCTTTGTGGACTACGCAAAGCCTAAAACTGATGGTGGCGGCATGCCAATAGCCCGAGGTCCCCCTGAGCCACCAGTAGAACAATGAAAGTTACCAAACAGACCACTCTGACTGTGTGCTGCTAGAGTTGCAAGCCTTGCTCTTGCAAAATGATTAATCTGGAGAGCGTCGTTTCTCGTTTGGCCGGCAACCAAGAACTATTCGAATATATTGTAAGTCACCACTAGTCAAAAGAAGTTAGTTGTTTTTCAAATATGAGTGAAAAATTTATGTTACTGCAATTGTAATGACTGCAAGATTGGCTCAAATATGAAAATTATCTGTCATTAATCTATGCCATTATGTCATACTCTACTATTAGAACAAAATATATGGAAATCTTGCAGTAGTTAATTTGCCACTAATCTATTCTCCCTTGAATTTACTTTTTTTTTTTTTTTTTGCGAGGGTCAGTGGGTGGTTTGGGTGGGTAGGTGGAAGGCATTAACTCATATTATATAATTATAAATACACTTTTTAAATTAAAAAGTCATCCTTACGTTTCGGAAAAAAAAAAAGAATAGCCTACTTTTGACTCCAACAAAATTCCATGTGAACTTGTGAAGGCTGAAATGTACTGTTCTCTAAAAGAGGAAGTTGAAAGGGCATCTATTTACAAGTTTCGTGCAGGCAAGGAAATTGAAATATTTTTCTTGAACGGAGGTCTATCGAGAGGTAAGGTCCGCATCCACTCTAGCTATGCAGGCAAGGAACAAATTTGGTGATGAAAGGATAGTTCCAGTGCACAAAGCATCTCAGTTTCGGAGAAGGTTACGTTGTGATGTAGGTAGCTTATCCTACCAAATACAAGCATTAGTTACTGCTTTCATGACTTAAATTTGTGACCTATTTAATAAATAACTCGAAGATAAAGATAATTTTATTTAATCTTTTAACCTTCGGGGTGGCCCAGTGGTTTGAGCTTGGGACTTCCATGTTGGAGGTCTCAAGTTCGAAACCCCTTGCCAGCGAAAGCAAGGGGTTTGCCTTCTGGGTCGAGCTCGTCGCACCAGGCTTGCCTAGTGCGGTTTACCTCTCCTATGTGGTTTGCGAGCTATTGCATAGGAGCGGGGGCTTTACCCTGTGCGCACCCAAAGGGTAGCGGTTGCGGGTTTTCCTTGACATCAAAAAAAGATAAAGATAATTTTATCGTTTCTCTAAGACTATACATTAATGTGATTGTAGAGCTGCATTAACTCATGAATTAGGTGGTGAACTTTGAACTTTCATAATGTAACATCGTTCTAGTTGTCCAACATTATTTAATTGTAATAGAGAAATAATGTTGTGTTGTATTGTTTTCATCGAAGTGAGAAAGACATGTCCATAAATATCTACTTACTATAGAGCATTTGATAGAACTGTGCTTATGATTAATGGGTGTCAAAATTTTAATATCTCCCACCTTAAAAATAAAAAGAAAGGATGAGCTATATCTTTATAAAATATACTCCCACTGTGCTAAGATAGTATTTGATTGGAAATGAAATTCAAGATAAAAAGAAATTTTAAAAAAAAATTACGATTCAAAATAAGTCATAGACATTTGTACGATTATAATTCATCTCACCAATGGAATGTGAAATTTAAAATTATATCGTTTATAAATAAGAAAATTCGACCTTTTATGAAACAAAGTAAAAAAGATCACACCCTTTGGGTGCAATTCTTTCTCGATCCCTACTAACACGATATCTTTTGTGCACCAGACTATTCTATTTTCTCTCTCTTTTATCTCATTATAAATATATGATATATACCCTTAAATGATAATTACAAGTATTTTTGTAAATTATATAAAATATATATTTTTTTATTTTTCTCTTTTTTTATCTACTCAAACAAAATAGAAAACACCAAAAAGCCACAAAAATTGATATCCCAAATGCAACACATAAGCTATCTAATGTCCCTTCTCTCCTCAACTTCTTCTCTTTTCTTTCCCTTCTCATTTCCAAAAACTCTTTATACCTCTTCCTCCCTATTTCACCTCTATTAGCTCCATTTCCCCTTTTACCCTCCAATACCTTTTGTAAAATTACCAAACTCTCCCTCCCATTCAAATGAGTTCCATCCATGTCCTCCACTCCCAAACTCACTTCCCTCACCTGCATTTCTCCTACCTCAGATCCACCGCACGTGACCACTATCTCACACTGCACGTGACCTCTCTTTTGATCAACGGTCAGGATTGAAGTAAAACGTACCTGCACTTCACCGGTTAACCAGTGCCGTTGTACGGAAACAGACTTGAAGGAGGAGAGGTTTATCGATCGCCGGCCGATCGGATCAATCAGAATCCAACTCAACGTCATGTGTTCAATCAGATCCGTACACGTGTCGTCGTCGCTCGGGTGTTTGATTGGCGTTGAAATCACCTCCTTTGGATCTATCATGTCGATTCTGAACGGCGAGGATTGGAACCAACTCGACGTCGTTTCAGTCTCTTGTACGTTACTGAAAATCGCTTTGTTTTTGTAGTGTATATCGACGGCCGATATTAATTCCGGCGGTGAAGATGAACGGTTTGCAATTGAATTTGTCTGTTGAATAATCCACTGTTTCCGATTCCGATCAAACAAACACACGGAGAAAAAATTCGAAAGGATTATATAGATTGTAGATCTCAGCGACGTCAAACTCACTGACTCTAAATCGTGAATTTGCTTATTCTCGGAGGAAGGGAGAGAGAAGGACTGAGAGAAGAAGGTACGGTGACCGGCGTCGGGGAAGGTGGAGATGACGTGGCTGATACGAGGAGTGGCGGTAGACGGCCAAGTGGAGTGGCATGCCCGTGACCATAGGTGGTTTTCTGATGAAAGGCGGTGGAGAGTGGCAGAGGAACAGCTGGTGGAAGCTAGAGTTGGTCCGTCGAGTCGAGTGAGGATATGAGCTTCGATGATATACGGATGCAAATCGGGAAAACCGGTTGCGCCGCCGTCTTCCGCCGTGACGGTGGTGGTGGTGGTGATTGGTGGGCTATGGAGTGAGGAAGTCATTTGAGGAGTGTGAAATTTTGGCTTATTGGGAGTTTGAACTTTGAAGTTGTGTTGTATTTATAGGTGCCTGCAAAGGGAAATGGAAAGGGAAAAATTTGGGGAAAATGCCCTTTGTGTTTTCAATAATTACGGAAACTTAGTTAGTCGCTGCCACTGCGTGGACTCGTGAATATACGAATTTTAATCCTAATATATCATAGTTTCTTTATTTAATGTATCACATAATCTGTTGTTTTATGAAGTAAATTAGTTAGGAGTTTTAAACTATACGTCCCATCATATATACTTTACATAAACTAAAATATCAATAATAACAATATATTTAATATAATTCAACAAGTGAAATTTGAGTAAAGTTACGAGTATGTAATCTTACGAAGATAAATACGTTTCTAATATGACCTCGAATTAAATAAAACATAACAAACTTTATGTATGAAAAGAAAATATAATAATAAAAAAGTCATAACAATAATAAACTAAACAAATATCGACGTTCAAATTTTAATTAATTACTTGACTCTTAAATATAGCTTTCGTGGGTGGTCCTGAAATAGAAGCCAATGGAGGGGGAATTACGTACATGATCTTAATAAAATAATAATAGAAGTACATGCAGGAGTCCACAATAATATTGTTAATTGCCGGTGTTTTAACGCTAGCCTTGTGTTTACTTTCTTAATTTTATCCTAAAAAAAATATGATTTGAATGAATACATATAAACCTTATAACACGTATTATTATTTTCGTTTTAATTTGTTTGATCTATTTTTTTTGTTATAATTCATTTGAAAAGTCTAAGAGTAAAAAATTAGATCAAGCATATTGAAATAAAAAAATAATAATACGTATTATAGAATTTATATATATTTGTTCAAATCATAATTTATTATTTATATATCGATCACCAAAAAGTCTACATCATTATTTGTCATGTATTCTACTATTGTACTAACCCTTTTTTTTTTAATGCATTACTTGTGTAACCCACTTTCTTTTCTCTTAAAAAAAATGAAAGAAGGAAGAATTATTATGTACTCTTTCTGTTCCATTTCATATAAATTACTTTGACTTAACATAAAGCTTATGATAACAAATAAGATTTTTGAAATTTGTGGTTTAAAAATAAATAATAGATGTTTGTGTGGCTATAAATCATTTCATTAAGTGTAAAATGAACATTTTAAAGTTAAATTATTACTTAATATAAATATATATCATTTTTTTTGTACTGACTAAAAAGAAAAATAAATCATATAAATCGAGACAAAGGGAGTAATATTTTTTGTCTCAATTTATGTGGTATAGTTCAAATTTTGACCGTGAATTTAGACATAAAATCTTTAAATTTTTTGAAATAAAATTTACATATTTGGAAACTACATAAAAAGTATTTTTATATCATGATAAATGACAATTCAAAATATTAAAAAATATATGAAAAACTACTATTAAAGAAAAACTCATTTGAATTTCCAAATTCATAAAGTACTACATAAATTAAGACGGAGAAGTAATGTGTTACTATAAGTACACGTTTAAAATTCGAACTTTGCATCAAGGAAACTAACTTTAATATTTAAGAAGAGTTTAGAGAAGTATAAAAAACGAGCTTATCGTCTTTGAGTTTCAAAGGCTGAGTTGATAAAAAAAATTTAGCTACAGATAAATTTTTCGATCATAAAAAAATAAAAGAAAAATAGTCAAATTAGAAGTCGTTTTCGACGTGCATCACACTGTAAAAAAATATAATTGGGTTTCTTAGTGGTTTGACTAATTGAACTCTTTATTGGATCTTTTTTGTGATATTTTAAGTTATGAACCCCTGTTGGTTCAAGTATTTATCTATGACTTCATATTTCAACTTGGCAAATTGTTATAACTTATATTAGAATAAAAAAAATAAAGGTATTATGAATTCTTTACTTTTAAGGTCAATGGGTGCTTGTATAACTGTTTTTTAGTAATCATGTGTTCAAAATAGTAATCTCAAAAATTGAGAAAGTAATGTTAACTTAACTTTTTGAGCCCACAAATATCATTGTGTGTCCTTAGGTATTTGATGCATTGAATTATTTTTTCTCAAAGATAAAATATATATGCTTGTTATTAAAATAGTGATATCTTAAACGTTAATAGTTTTACTGAACTTGAAGACATGAGTAACAAATCACATAAAAATTCGATATTTGTTTATAAGAAAGTATGTAGAAAAAGTTCAGAAAATTGATTCCGAAAATTTAAGCTATTTCTCTGAATTTATAGCTAACGAAGGATAAGGTGAATTACATGTACTATTATGTCTTAATGAAAGAGTCACAATCTATTCAAAATAAAATTAAAATTAAATTCATAGGTTAATTTATAGTCGTCTAATATATGTTGTTTACTAGTCATGAAGCAAAATTTTCAAATAATAACTTATTTATCCATTCTTTTCAGATTTTTATGGGTAAAAAATATTAAAAATAAATTTGTAGGATATAAAATTAAGTACAAAATACAATATAACTATGTCAGTCTTCGTTTTGGTCCCGCTTTCTCCTATCTTATATTAATCTAGTGGAGAATTAAATTTAAAGTTTGATTATTCACCAATGACATCTTTGGTACTTAAATCTAAAAAAAATTGCAGCATGAGACAAAGTATTTTTGTGTATTAAGTTGTTCACAAGGGTCAACTTGATTTCAATCTTCGAAAAGCCACTGATTTCAACTATCGTTTATGTATGATTCATACTAAATTTGACCAACTGTAATTTTGTATTAGAATTTGTTTTAGCGAAGTAGTTTATGTATCACCTCCTTTAATATGTACAACTACATGTATCTATTTATTTAAATAATTTTATATTTAAAGTTATCTCTGAGTTACTAGAAGGTAATTAGACTACAAATCTCCTTACAAATCAAGCTCAGGAGTAAAAAGTAACAAATGAATGGGTTGGATTAAATTTGAATGGATCAAAATTAACCGAATTAATCTTAACATAACTTATTCTTCCTTTCATTATTTCTCTATAGATACTCCTCAAAGGGACTCTATTCAATTTATAAACGACCATAATATATCACTTTTTCCTTAATATCTATCTTGATTGAATTTTTACAAAGGAAATTTTGAATGTCTTGTGCTTCTCCAATTGGGGCATTATGTGTTTGGCAATAGCATTAAGTTTGAATTAGAGCCCGGTTGGATTGGCTTAAAAAAATAGATTTCAAGTCAAAAATAAAAAGTTAAACTTAAATGACTTTTATAAATCTTTAAGGTTATGATTTCTTAAATTTTTTCTTGTTAAAATTCTTATAAATATAATTTAATTGAATTAATTGATTATTCTTTGAATTACCATGATGTTTCACCTTATTTAAATAAAATAAGGATGTAAATAGTATCTACGTTTAGTTTTAAAGTATTTTTTAGTCTCATAGTCCACTAATGTATTATAAGGATGTTCAAATTAATTCATAAAAAAATGTATCAAAATATTTTCAAATACATTTTATTTATTTAATATGTTGCATACGATCTACAGGCATAATAAAAATAATTTTATTAAATACCAAAAATTATAAATTGAAGACCATTAATTACTGGGTGATTGTGAAGATGGACCTTGATTAGAATTATTAAAATATCATAATTTTGAATTTTTACTCTTTTAAGTTAAAAATTGCTTGATCTCTTGTGAAACGGAGCGCCGATAAATATAAAATATTTATCAAAATTTACACTGGCAGTAGGAATAATATAATTATAGATTTCTATAGTTCACATTTTCATTATATTTGTCACTTCACCAGATTTGAATGAACGAAGGTGAGGCCCCAGTATCCATCTTTCCCCAATCTCTTTTGGCGGAGCTGCTTCACTACGGGTAAGTTATCGGTAATAATTATGCACATTATTGTAAAAAAATTGGGTTAGTGGAACGAGAAATAGAGTAGGGGGATTACAAGCTGCGAAATCATATCTTAAGGTGAAAATTCAGGTAGTTAATCAACTGAGCAACTGAGATTTACCTCTAATTGTGCATGTTGGAATAAGAATTGTGTACAGTTTATTTGTGATGACAATGTGTTTGATGATTTGCCTGAAAGAGAAGATACACAAACATGAACTAAATGTGATATTTTTGGAATGAAGTGTTGTGCACTGGATGTATTTTGTATACATGATTGAACTTGCAACAAAGCTGATCTGTTTGTAGTTCCATAGGCATTCTGTTTTAACAGAGAAGTGTGTGTAATTATTTCCTTCATTGGTAGATTGTTAACATCAAACAATTTATTTATAAGTCTCATAAATGACTTTAGGATGTTAGAATTGATTTCGTGATGAACGTAGGAAGACGGTTTGATCAAGGAGACATATTTTGATTCATCGTGATTTTTCAATGACAGTTAAACTAAATTTCTCATTCTTGCACCCTTTCTTCTGTTTTATTTCTTATGGAAACTAACTAGTTCTTTGGTTAGCGAGAGAACTAGTTACTGTAGATTGTTTATTTCTTACGTTGCAACCTGTAAACGGTTATTCACGTGTGTATGTGTGTTGTTTGGTCATGTACTAACTCTGAGTTTACGCATTACATGTAATGGTACTTCAGGACTCAAAATGAAGGTGAAGGTAGTTTGGAGGAAAGTATCTGATTATGTTCGATACGATCTGAAGGAGATTGCTTTTCCTTCATCTTTACCGGACCCTCCTCACTTCAAAAAACGTAGGAAACTAACTTTGAAGGAGCGCTATCTTGTGAGTGTTTGCTTTATTTTTCTTTCTGCTAAAATCTTTTGGTAATGAATTTTTATGATGCATTTATCAGTAATTACTGTCTAATCTTGGTAGTATTGATTCAGGTGCTTAAGGAAGCGTCTAGGCTTTATGCTGCAAGCTGGGTGAGGGACATTGGTCCTGAACTTCGGCCCAATGATTACAAAAAGAAGCGTGAGATTGAAGGCGAGTTGGATGGAGGGAATGGAAACGGAAAAGAGAAGGAGCCCTCAACATTGGAGGATTTAGGTAAAATATCTTACTAGTTGTCTTTCATGTATGATTGCTTTTTTTCAATTAAATACACGGAAACTTTAGATATGCTGGATCAATAGAGGTACTTTTTGACTCAAAATATTGTAAACGATATGTCCGTATATACATTCTTCCTACTTCTTTCTGGTTTGAATGGTGTGAGTCAGTGATATTAAAAGCAAAAAGTGCAAAAAAGTGACAAGGTCTATAGGGCTTGAAGTGAAAAGTGAAGCGCATGTTTCCTTAAATGAAGCACACAGTTGTTGTTTGCGATTATAGTTATAGTTTCTTGCTTTACATATATGATTATTTGATTTGTCTTTCGTTCCAGTGTTATCGTTTGTCCTGTATGTTGATTTCATTACTGAATTTCAGCTAGTCACTTTTTTTTCTTGACCGTCCACATAGTCTTCTTGGATGGAATTATAAGTAGGGTGTGTAAGCAGTCATGAATAAGTGTATTCTATTTTGATCCTTTTAAATTTTAACCTAATCTCTGAGGTCCTAGTTCTTGAAACTCAGAATGAGATATGATTATATGCTCCACAAATCACAGATAATCATAGCTTGTATACTCCCAAATCCCAACGATTTCATCCTCAAAAATTTTCAGTCGCGAACCCTTAAAGCTGAAAGCTTGGGTGACTTTGAGGATGTATTCCTGGATTGACTTAAAGTTCTGTTATTTTAAATTATCCTCAGTAGTTTAGGTGTTAACAATCACGTAGCCTCTTGAGAACTTTGCCATGAGATTTTATTTTTCTGCAATGATTCTGTTATAACATGCTCCAAGAAGCTTTATATCTTATTTTCACGAAAACTCTGCAATAATATATGTTGAAAATCAACAGACTTATTGGTTTTATCCAGCTAAAGTTTCTCCCTAGTACTTTCTGTACATAAATCATTTCGGTCATGTTAAAATTGTTTCTGAATTGAGTTATGAAACAACTGCACGTTTTGTCCGTAGCTGTGGCTGCAAGAGGCGGAATGGAGACACTACGACCAGCACTGCAACGAGTTTACATGACGAGAGCTTCTGCATATAAAGATGCACTTAAAAGTTTCATACAAGGATATCAAGAAGGTATCCAACAAACAATGGAGAAAACTAAAGACTCGAAATCTTCCGAAGACACTGATGCATCCAATTCCAAAGGACCAACTTGAGTTCTAATGGACAATTTGTGAGTTATCTTTTGCAATACCTACTGCAAGAACTTGTTCGATGTCCTCCCTTGTTTCTTTCGAGTAATCACATTAAGGAGTATCTATTTCTCATTTTTGTACATAACTACGGTGATATAAGGAATGATATTTACATGAACAATACTCGGGTATGCTACCAGCTTCTGGGCGCTCTCTTTCTGTTCATTTTTCCTTTTGATTATCTTCTTCTTTCCAACACATATTGGTAGAGTGATTTCATCTTATCTAAGTCTTGTGGCAGAATTACTCGATACTTATATCGGTTAGAAGTAATAGTCGAAATATGCACAAGATAATATTGACACCATCACTAGTAATAAGAGGAGAGGGAGGCTGGTTATTAGCACCTTTGATCCTTTTGGGTTGCCAGACCTTGGGTAGCTAGTGGCGCTTCGTAATGGCTTGTGTATAGTCCAGCGACTCTCTTTGCTTATCTCATCCACTAAACTATCGAGACAAGTTCAGAATGTTACCTTAGCAGAAACTAGTTTGTTCAGTTACAAGCTTTCTAATAGTCAAATTGTGATAGAATCTAAATTGCTCAGACTCTCCAAAATTGTTGCCGCACCCGTGTCGGATCCTCCAAAAATGCACTACTTTTAAAGGATCCGACACGCCTTCAATGATATTTTTGAAGAGTCCGAGCAACATTAGGATAGAATGAAATAGATTAGTGTACTGTTAGTAAAGTTTGATGGAAAAGGTCTGTGATTTTTACTTTTGACCTACTTCTTGAGAATTGAACTTAGAGTTCACAGGTTAGATTGATGAGTCTTTTCAACAGTTTTTTCATAGGAATCATCAAAACATACAAGTAATAGTAGTACATTGAACAGAGTGTTGAACAAAATGAATTAAGCTGTTTAAACTGTTAGTTGCTTTGAATAGATGTCAAATAGTATTCCTAAGACACTGTGTCTGTCACTGACAACAGAGTACACTGCCATCTTATCAAAGAAACTAAGTCTCCACCATATTTCTTCTTGGTGAAGAAGCCCTAGGATTCTCGATTTGACTCGATTTGCGGTTTGGTTCGGTTTTCGGTTTGGTTTTGTACACCCGTAATTTTATTGATGAATATATTAATTTTGTTGGTATTTGTATCATTGCAAAACAACTAAAATATACAAAAAAAAAAAAAAAAAAAAAAAAAAAAACTCCTTTATCTATATATTCTTGAAATTGTTGTAAACAAACAATTACGACTTTGTCTCAATCTCAAACAAGCTGGGATCGACTAGATTTTTGTAAACAAACGGCCTCATTTGGGCGTTTGTTTACGTCAATCTATACTTGGATGTCCCACCTCAGCTGTCCAACTACCCACCCCCTGAAAACACTGATGTTTCTTTCAAAGTTCCAATTTCTTTTCATTTACTTTCCCCCTGGACTTGGAGTTGATTTACATCACCTTTTTGGGAGAGCAAGTAGCCAGAAAATCTGGGATTTTAATTTCCCTTTTGAATTTTCTTTTAATTGCTTGTTTTTTATATTCCAAGTGGCCCATAATGGTCAATCCTTATGTCACATCCACAGATCTTATCCCTGGTGATATCTCATCTGATTGACATCTCTTGAGTGATCCATATCCTGTTACAACGACCATACAGTATAATTATTAACAATATACTATAAAAGAAAGGTTAGATATGTGCATGTGACAACCCCCAATCTGCACCTAAGGGTGTGGCTTCGTGGTTAATGCACTGAGTTGAACATTATGAGGTTTCATGATCAATTTTCAGCATAGATAACACCAGGTGATTTTTTCCAATCTATTTTATTTTGGTAGACAGAGTTACTTGAAACGTGTTTCTAGGGGGTGACACGTATCCCGTGGAATTAATCGAGTTGTGCACAAGCTGGCTTGGACGTTGCAGATATTTTTTTTAAAAAGTATATGACCATCCGTGTCTGAACCACTGGTAATTTGGTGATAGAGATAGCTATGTATTCAATACACCATGGAAGTTCCCAACTAACTTTATTTCAACTTCGATTGTGGAGCAGTATTTTTGCTTCATGTTAAAGGCTTGGAAAACGTCATGCATTTGACTTTACCAAAAGGGCCTTTTTCGAAATCTCTTTGTTGAAGAATTATGGTGTATATACAAGGTTAAAATTAATATTTTGCCAATATATAGTAGGTATGAATCCCTTTTAACTTACGCATATTCATATTTTGAATCATCTTAGTAAAAGTCTCCGCCATTGATTATCTAAATCTTACTCCTGTTATATTTCTTAGTCATAATGAACTTAAATGGCCCAACAAGTCTTTCTTCGATAGTGGGGAAATTGGTTAGTCAATTTCAAAAACCTCAAGTGTTAGCTAGGCATGAAAAGAACATTACCTAGCTACTACAAAAAGGTATTCTCTCTCAAAAATGCTGTATGATGTCACTACCCAAGCTAAAATAATACGCCTTTGATTTCATTTTATGTGAATCTAAAATATGGTATTGAAAAGTATAAAATTAAATGTTTTCAAATATATAAGAAAAGAAAGTTTTTTTTTTTTTAAAACATGAGTTATAAAAAGTAGGATAGAAGTAGTAAAAAATACCCCTAAACTCAGCGAGAATTACCAGTTTCAGTCTCAAACTATTGACATTCTTAAAAAAACACCTATTTGGTTGACTAACTGAACTTAAAATACACCCCGTTCTTGCAACATGAGTGAAATACACCTCTAAATTCTCACCAAGTTTAGGGATGTTTTCAACATTTCTCTGTCTTTTTTATTAAGAGTCTCGTGCTCCTACAGGAGTTTGATATCACTTGCTATGTCATTTGACAAATTAGGAGTGTATCTATATACTTTTCATGGATGCTTTTAATACTTTTCTGTGACACGAGGGAAGTAGTAGACATTAGTTTTTGATATGCTAAGTCACAGAGTTTGATTTGATTCCTAAAGAGAAGTCTGACTCTAGTGGTGAGCAGAAAAGTTAACTATATAATATGAGGTTTGATCCAAAATATCTTATGGTTGGTTGAAGTTTACTTCAAGTTGCCTGGTAAGTTGTATGATAGTCAGGACCACATACCAAATTATTATAAAGATATATTATGGCCACTATTCATAATCATTTTATTCCCAATGTAATTCTCCTTTCACACGACTCTAAACATGTGAAAAACACAAAAGTAATATAGGAAGAAGAAAAGAAAAAATTCCTCACATTTGTGCTAAAAAGGAAAGAAGGAAAAGATTAGAGAAAAGTCCTATATACAAGGTTAAGGTACGGGTACATTTGAATTCAATAATTTTGATAAAATCATGAATATTTATAAAAAAATATATAATAAATTTTAAATTTTGAATCCCCCTGCACCCTGCTGTCCCAATTTATTTGGCATATTTTTTTTAATATGCATTGAAAAGGTCACTTACATTTAGAAAAATTAACCTTTAAATTCTTATTTTATCTTTGATAAGATAATTTATAGTTATACTAATAATAATTTTTCACATCAAATAGTGTCACATAAATTAAAATGATTGTATTATTATTTTCAATAGACCCTACAAGAGAGAGAAAAATGAGGATATCTCACATTAAACCAAAAATATGGGAGTAGCAAAATTCTCAGAGGGTTGCTAAGTAGTTCTCTAGAACACGCCTATTACTATTTGTCCATATCTATTTCTTATCTTCTTAAAAAATAAAATAGTTTCGAAAACGACATTATTGAATAACGTATTTATTGTTCATTTAAAAGCTTAATAAATATGGTTTTTTTTTTTATCGTTTAATCAAATATAGTTTGAGATGCTCATCTCTTGCAAGTCTAAAAATTTTGACCTTTACAAAAATCATAAGCTATAAGACACGAGAACTAAGATTTTTCTTTATCAGGAGAGACAAAAGGATCAATATGTGTTCTCACTTCTTCTTCAGAGTGACTCGAACACCCAATCTACGGGAGATGTTGAAGGTGCTCAACTACTTTAATTCATTCTATCTTGATTTTGTAAATTGACAACTAATATGCGACAAAATAAATATTTAGTACCCAAACCTAACCTATTTATAGAGATGGAATTTGAAATGAGGAAGAGGAAGTAGTTGTTAGCTAGTTGAGCAAAGAAGATAGCACAAATTCCAAAACAGCTTACATAAATTTATAACAAGTAGCAAAATTGATTGCTGCTACATAAGTAGCACATTACTTGTTCAACTACACTACTATTTTTATGGGTTTTTTTTACTTTTTGTCCCCTATTTCTTATTTAACTAATAATACACATGTTAGCTAGCTAGGTGCACTGTATTTTAAGAATTAAAAAAATATCAACTAAGGTGACTGTAGAGTACGTATACATCTGTCTCATTAAAGGAAACACGAATATTTTTGTCAAAATATCACTTAATTCATGTTCAAACACGGAAAAAGTTCAAATTTTCATTAATAAAATAAGGAGCGTACCGTGTTGTAATGATGGTTATTATTATAGGATGAAGCTGGAGGAGTAGCATGAGGATTTGAATAATGGACTTGGTATTGGTAATAGTGTTGACCAGCTTGTGACTGATAGTACTCCTGACTTTGTTGGTGATGGTTCGATGATATTGAACCATCTGGGGTTGATGACTCAGACCATGAAGACGAGTCATCAACCTCACATTCTAGGTTCACACCAAACAACCTTACTTGCCTCCTTGTGTTGTTCCCATTTGGTGTTGTTAATTGGTTGTGCATTACTCCTCTACCTATACATTAATCAAGAACCAAATCAATAGATAAGCAAAAAAAACATAATTAATCGAGTGAGATTAGTAAATATTGTGTATGAGAGATACGAGTCATGTATTTATTAGTACAAATTAAATTTTACTTTTATAATCATACTAAGCTAGAGTTTGGTCATAGATTTTGAATTAAATTTTGAAATATTGTCTTTTAAATTTATTTGGTCATGAAATTTGATGTTTCAAGGAGTGTGCTTCCGATTTTCTCGGTGCTTGAAACAATTCTATCTTCTCCATATTATTAAATCTTTAAAGTTAATAATCTATAGGAGGAACTAATGAAATCAATCACTAGCTATCGTTATTTTTCAGTTTTTTGTTGAGGTGTATCCTCAAATTTCCTCTGAGATAGTTTTTAGGAGAAATTTTCACTTCTACTCGCAAAATTTTAAAATAATTTTAAGTAAAATGAATATTCAAACATAATTTAAATTTCAAAACTTTGAATTTTCAAATTTCAATTTCAAAACTCAAATTTTCAAATTTCAACTTTAAAATATACGACTAAATTTCAAAAGTCGAATTTTCAAATTTTAACTTCAAAATATACCGACAATGGGGAGCTGACACATGAAAAAAATGGGGAAAAAAAAGGAAGATACGTGTAGCAGTTGTCTGCATGTAGGTACAGTTCAAAAATCTGAAAAAAATGAAGGAAAAAAAGAAAAGAATTAAAGACATTTTCAATGCGAAAGGTATGTATTGAAGAAAAAAACACAACCTGCGTGAAGAAAGTCGGTTTGGTACGGAACACCTGCCGACGGAAACGGATGCACCTGCCCCCACCCACCGCCACCTCCCGGCGGAGCGACGGTGGTTGCAGCAGCGGCAGCGACGGCGTCACCGTTCTTCCTCCTCCATCCAATAAATTGCCGGTCACCGTCAACCCGATGTCGCTCAAACAAAACAACATCACCGGCATCTAATTTCTTCTCCTTCACGAAACGGCTCCATCCTTTAGTCAATACATAGCTCTGGCTACTATTCCAATACGAATAACGAAACTTCCATAATTTCCCCAATTCATCTTCAAAACTTAGTAAAAAGCCCTTTTCACCTGAATCATTAATCGAATCATTAAGAGGAAAGTACTTTTCCGCGTTCTGTTTTGGGATAACTAATCGATTGAGCTTCCCAACGTCGCTCGGCGTTAATGGCTTCTCGAACAAATGCTCTTTGGGGATTTCAATTTCTTCTAATTGATTGCTGTTTTGCTTCGGAGGAGACGAAGAATTTCTAGATGATTCTTCCATGAAATTGTAGTGTTCACTGAAAAAATAGTTCTGCTGAAAGTTTTGTGAAGAAAAATGGGTTATGGACATGTCTCACAAGAAAGAGATGGGAAGATAAAAGGGGAGAACAATGGGTTTATAAATGACGTAGGAAATGTGAAAGCGGACAGGTAGGAAAACTATATCTAAACGGATCTAAGGCCTGATAATAATTTGTAAGATAAAAGAGGAGCTAATCAGATGATAAATATTTTTCATCTCGGATTTTAAAATTTTGAATTCATTACGAAAAAAGAAAAGAAAAGAAAAAGTTTAATATATACTCTTTCTGTCCAACAATACTTGTCACTATTGACTTTGCACATTCTTAAGAAAATATAAATAGAAGATTAATTTTACTATATCAGTCTTTGATATAATCAATATAATGTTTTGAAAAATGTAATAGGAAAATGACTATAATAAATATTATTGGACATCTCAAAATAATATAGTGAACTATTATTGAAGGAATGGAGTATAAGAATCAGAAAGAATAATATGTATTCAAATCTTATTTCACAAGGTGCAGGAGTCAGGAATAAATTTCAAATATAGTAACGTAAAAGGGTTATAATGTGGTAATTATATCATCAAAATTAAATAATGATACAATTATTGAAGGAATAATAGATAAATTATGCTTTTTTTTAAAATTTGGTTTCATTTCACTTTATGTGCTTCAATTTTAAATTTGTACAAACAGACATTTAAACTTGTATAAAGTGAATAAATTGACATACACAACCTTCCTATGTGATATTCTACGGAAAAATTTGTGCCCTACTTGACTTCTTACGTTTATTATGATATAGGAAATTACTTATATCATAAACAAAAGTTTAATCAAATATATTTGAAATTGAATAATCTCATATTTGACTTCAAAATTATTAATTAAACTTTATTTCATGAAACAAAGGACGTCCCCTTATGTTTTTTAGGTGTGGAACCAAAGGACCCGTTATTTTATTTTTGAAGAAGCAAGAAATTAATTTCATAAAGATGAAAATGAGAGTGAGATATGCAAGTACAACAGTAGGTTTATTAAAGTTATTTGAGTGATAAGAAAAATCATTGTATTCACTACAATTTAATTAACTGTTCAGCAAGTAAAACTATTTTAAAAAAATAAGTGTTATTTTAATATATTTTTCCATGTTTATTAAAAAAAAATACAAAATAATATTATTTACTAAGTTATTTTTATTTACTAGGGGCATCATTTGGTAAGGGACATGTGTGTATACAAATAGTCCTCGATATAGTATATTAATAATATTTGTATTAGTTATATTGAGATTATATCTTATATACGTTTTGATTTAGTTTATTGAAAATATATGCATTGCATAAGTTTTAAAATAAATTATTTGTTTATAAAATTATCCTCCACAAATATGGTGAAAAGTATGTGAAAAGTTCGGAAGGGTAATTGTGTTTTTACTGATGCTAATGTGTGCATTAAAAATGCTTGTGTTGCTAATGCCATGATTTTTCATGCAACAGTTATACTAGTGATGTAGCTACATGACTAAGGGTGATCACTCAAATACCCTTCGTCGAAAATTTTTATGGACAGATAAAAATACGACATATGTAGGTCAAAACTAAAATAATCTTTTAGAGATATATATGTTAAAGTTTTGAATATCCTTAGTATGATTTCCAGGTTCGCTATTGAGTTATACTTAGTATAATATCAATTATAGTATATAACTAATGCTTAGATTCAAAAAGTGTATTAATTAAAAGAAGAGGTTTTTTAATTATTATATTAAATTTTTAAAGCATTAATTATTATGGAACAATTGGATTTGCTAAAACGATACATACTTTGGGTCGAAGGAACATAAACACATATAATTAAACCTCTTTATAATAACAATATTTGCCTAAAAATTTAGCGACTATTATAGAAAGATATTGTTAAACATCAATACTAACATTTGACATTTAGCTCTCATTAAATGTTATAAACAAAAATACGTAAATTAGAGAGAGTGAATATAAAAGAGACAAATATAACATACTTACGTGTATAATTCACCTTCAAACCAATTATCTACTATCACTATATTTATTTATTTTTGAAAAATTGTATGAAATAGCAAACTATTAATTCAAATTAAATGTTATAGCCATAGTTTATTTTATTTGTAATTCGCAACAAACATCATATTTTTTTGCCATCTGGTTCGGTATACAATTAGCCATTTTCGATATACAATTACACATTCAGTTTACAAATATATAAAATGTGTTTGTGTTTGTATAAAGCGAGAGAAAAGTGTATATACAAATACAAATACATATATTTTCGTCCTATACACTTATAATTATACATATGCAGATTTTATTATACAAATTACAATGTATAAATGAATTTATACAAAACTGAACAATTTGTATAAAATTAGATGTATCTAGAGAATTATACAAATCAAAAGCTTCATAGCAAACATAAAATTTGTTATGGTGCGCAATTATGCAAACTATAGCTACAACATACAAATGTGATTTTTATGTTTGTTATATGTGAAAGTTACTCTTTTTTTTGTTGATTTCCCATCCGATGTTCGAAGCCCACATTAAATCTCTAATTAAATTTGAATCACGCTCCGCAGGACCAATAACGCTTCCAATAAAATTTTCTTCATGCCCAGCTCGACCTACTACCACTATGTTCTACGTGAACCCAATGAAGTAGTAACAGTAAAAGTAGATGGATATAATAAAACTTTAAAAAAAAGTATAGTATAATTAAATTATTTGGCAAAGAAACAAGCCAAACAGGGACCATGCTACTATGTTTGCTGGCTTGTGGGCAGGGGGCCAACCAGCTGACACCTGTACCAAATCCTTCTAATCCAACGAAAGGCCAAACAGAGGGCCTCTTCGTATTGTGTCGTGTGTGTGAGTGTGTTTCTTTTAATTAAATACGTTGGGTTGAAAGAGGAAATAGAGGAATCTTTCTATCGATGAAGTCTGAATTCTTCATCTTAATTGTAAAAAGATTGAGAAGTACATCAAGTGAACTAGTCTTCAATCCCTAGGGATTAGGGAATAGCGAGGAGGATAGCATCTAACGTTGAGAGTTTGAGTGTGAATCTAATGAAAAATAGGAGATTATGAATACGTTTTTTAAAGTTACATTTTCATTGATTATTTAGTTAATTATTAATTAAACTCAAAAATCAAATTGATATATCAATACAAAATTGTTACATCAAGTGAACTAACCTTCAATTCCAGTACAAAACAGGTAGAAACTCAAAAAGGGATTAGGGTTTAGCGAGGGAGGCAACACTTAACGTTGAGAGTTTGAGTGTGAGTCTAAAGAAAAATAGGAGATTATGAATATGTTTTCTAAAGTCACATTTTTATTGATTATTTAATTAATCATTAATTAAATTCAAAAAAATTGATAATCAAACTGATCGATAGATCAATGCAAAATCATTAAATTATTAATATTTTTTTCGATTTGATTTATTTATGTACCACTATTTCATGGCTAAATGGAAAAACTCACGTGAATAAAACTTATTTTGGGCAGGTAGATTCCAAAATGCCTCTTTTCTTGGTAGGAGACCTTATATTAACAAACAAAATTAGGAGAATTTCAAGAAAGACAATGTTTGCTATAATAAATAATTCAAAATTACACGCGTTGGATCGTAAAGCAAAAACTTGTACTACCCACTAGATCTACTTGTAAAAAATAATAATAATCCTTCTAGTATTTTCCTGCAGAAATAAAATAGTTAGTCAACAATTTTCAAAGTTTGATTATAAAAGTTGGCTGAATAAAAACTCGAAAATGATTAAAATATGAGGAAAATTATCTTGTATTAATCACTTATTAGTTTTGGAATTCATAAATTATTAGTTTAGTCCTTAAACTATCGACAGTTTTAAAAATATTCTTCTACTTGACTAACTAAACTTAGATATACTCTCGCTATGCAACATAATATAGCAAGTGGTCTCAAACTCTTGTCGGAGCATGAGACTCTTAATAGAAATCGAGAGAAGTGATGAAAACACGTTTAAAATTGACGAAAATTTAGGAGTGCATTTACTCATGTTGCAAGATTAAGGGTGTATTTAAATTCAGCTAGACAAGTAAATAAGTATTTTTAAGATTGTCAATATTATTTTGGGATAAAACTAACAACTCGTGCTGAGTTTAGAAGTGTTTTTAATATTTTTCTCTTACTACTAATAATACATCAAGTGAAGTTTTATAAAGATGTATAAAAAGAATAAAGTCTTTGCATTTTTACCTATATCTCTTGACGTCAGACAAATTATTTTCGATAGACCAACTAATAGCTATATCTAAAAAATATTCATCATATTTTAAAGAAGGATGAAAATTTGGAATTGTAGTGGGTAAATTGTGTCACGACTCACGTGTATGACAGCAACATGATTGACATTTGGCATTTTCCTAGTTGTTGTATAATTAATACTATAAGATGATGAAGCAAATAAAAAGGAGACAAAATTAAAAGAGAGAAATCCCTAGATCTACTTCACTTTCCAATAAGCACAAGCAAAATAAATAGAGATAAGATATTGTCCAATCACAACAAACAACTATACTGTATTTTCTTATTTGCCTTGCTGTTTCAATTCCCTCCTCTTCTTTCTCTTTGTCCACATACTACCCCACTCACTATTCACTCCGTCTCAAAATAAATGTTACTTTAGCAGAAAAAAAACTCAAATTTGACTATTATATTAAAAACTTTCTTCTTAACAGTACTTAACTCTCAAGAAACATCTAAGAAATAGGAGTTTTAAAACGTTGAGAGTTGAGAGTAATACGTTATGCCATCAAACATTGTCAACATGTATAATTTGATGTTTACACGCGACATATGCATTACCAACTATGTTATTTAAATTTTTAGTTATTATAGAGTTATTTATAAATTCACTATGCATGTACTCAATAATATTTTGTAGAGTTGTTTAAAAATTTTAATCGTATCGAGTTGCAATGAACAATATTTTTGTAGAGTTCAAGATCAACGGAAGTTTATACACCAATGCACAAAAAGTTTAAGATTTTTTCTCATTATATTTTGCGTGTTTGAGACAAATACCACCTTAACTTCCAGGTAGATTCATA